ACAAGACTAACTATTACCTAGGAGAGCACTAAGTACGGACAACATCTCTCCTTTTCGCCGTTGCACCTATACGTTATTGTCTATTGCAATTTTCTAGGTAGGTTAAAAAGGCAAAAATGGTTCTTAGGAGACTCTAATTACAGGGATACGGCTTAGATCAATCTTCTATCTATAGATCCTCTGGACTTTCGGTTGCTGTCTTCCCCGCTGTTACTTCCAAAACTTGAATTGCCTTAGCAATTCTAACTTGTGAACTCAATAGCTCGTTCCTCAAATTGCTGTTTTCGAATGTCGAATTTTCTAGCTCGTTGCGAGTGTGAGAGAGGGCTTGTTCTAGTCGGTTATTTTCGGCCTATAACTAGTTCAGATATTCATGAGCGCAGCTCAACTCTTCTTTCAGCTTAGAAATTGCAATTTCAAGCCGCAAAATCGTTTCTGTAAAAGAACTCGAATATAGTCCTGCGATCTGACCCTAGATTTTAAAGTGTTAGAAACCACGCTAACCACTCTAGAAGAATCTGGGTATACCTTATTCGCTTTGTCCTTTGCCGTGCCCTTCAAGACCTGCACAGGAACCGCTTCCAGAGAGCGCCCTAACTCCTCGCAGATGGATTGATAGAACCAAATGTTGCCGTTACTGAGACTTTTTTTCAAGAGTACAGCACTCGTGCCCGTGGCTAACTAAGAGTAGCCGTCACTTGGGAGGGGTTGCAACCGGACCTGGCCAGGTGCTATAGTGAGACCCAGTCGCTTATCTATAAAGAGGTTAGCAGTGATTTGAGAACTATCATAAGATCGAAGCTTACAGATATAGGTGGACATAGCCTCGCGACACCTGATTCTCAAGAGTGCTCGCTTAGAACTACTAGCTCTAGTCATTTTGGCTTTCCGATGTAACCGATACTGTCGATAGGTAGCAGGCAAGAGCAGCTGCAGGAATATATCATAGTTTTATAGAAGCTTGAAGCCATTAGATTAGCTCTAGATATAATAGTGGGCCTATAATCTTACCACTTACTATCGCTTTTCCTGTCCCAACCAACGTTTAACCGTTGAATACCCGTACTTTCCTGACTATCGGGCTGAATAGCCCTCCGACCTGATAGCCCCTATCTCTAGGTAGCACACCTCGAATGAATGAGGGTAGTGTACCGCATAAAATCCTGTTGCTCTCTGGTTTAAGACGTCATTTTTATTGCTGAAACACTCGCTATATATCACAGCCAGAAATAATATTCGGCAGAATTGGAAGCAAACAATTCAAGCTTAGCCAGGTTGGGTAGTTTCCTGTCTCTCGAATATATATAGCAAGATAATTTCATCTTCGTCTCTTCGCTATCGATTCAAGTCGTGATATCTCCTAGTACTCGCCAGGCGCTTCGAAAGAGCGTAAATAATATATCCGACCCGGAGAAAGTCCCGCTACTGGAGCCATCCAATAACGTAAAGGAACTAGAAGCAACCGAAGATGAAAACCTTCAGAGTCGGTATCGGAACAATAGACGTGACTCCAAGTCTTCCTACTCAAACACTCAGACGATAATTCGAATGCGCCTTCGTCCAGGGCCGAATAGGCCACGTCTCTCCTTTCTGACCGTCTCTAAGGAAGGGACTAAGAAGAAAAGTGGGTTTCAAAAGATCCGCACTCACGTCGAAAATACGAATCCCGAAGAAAAACGACACGATTGGATGAGACGACTGCGCCCAAAGCCTCATCGCTGCGCCAGCTAGCGACCGACGTCTCCCTCGACACACAGTCTATCCTCTCTTTGAGTTTGGATGTATTACTGTCGGGATATATCCTCCCGTCAGAATAAGCAAAGACAGGTTGTACGTAATCGTGCTAAGCAGCGGCTCCCGCCGTCTGAGGTTCAGGGGCATTGGAGATGGAGAACACACATCTATCTACATTTTTGAATCAATTGACTTTTTGCTTTACGGCATAACACTGTCCACTTAACTGTGTACACAGTACCTAGCTGGTGATACCAACACTGATCAGTGGTTGATTACAACCACAGAACAGCTCGGTTTACACGACCTGGAAGAGGCATTGACCGCAAGGGAACGGGGAAACACTCTGCAGTACCCTCATTGCGGAAGATGTGCTAAAGGACATCAAAGTATCTCATTGGGAAACACTTGCAGTACCTTTGAGACACAGAGGATTTCCAAAAGATCTACAGTTGAAACCGCAACGAAGATCTACGTCTACCACGCAAACAACGCGTTAACGGGAAACACCTTGCAGTACCGTCACGACACGCAACCCAACACATTCATTTCGTTTATCCATCTCATTCACGATTACCGTCGATTAAACAACTATGCCAATCCCAGACAACCTCGGATACGCTGTTAAGGAGGAAACATAGCAGAAATCTATCGATACACTCGACAAGAAGAACCAGACGGAGAAGATATTGAACGGACATATAGCATATACAATGCAGGCATAGAACATAATACGTATCACCGATCGTGCCCTATAGAATGACTTTCGTGAAGAATTCAACGGGTAGACCCTAGACACATTCAAGGTGGCCAACAAAACCGCACTGAAGATGCTTCGACTTTACCTGATTACCCACGGAGTATAGATCAGAGTACGCATAGGGACATCCTACGCGAAGGGACTATACGACTGTCTCCAAGAGGTCACCCAGCACGAATAGACCAAAGAAGAGATCGAAGACTATCTCAAGGAGCACCCAGACAACTTTAACTCCAGATAGAACCCTACACGCGACCGATCACCGACCGTCCGACCACACTCCCCAGCAGCACGAGCTACTTCAGTGAACCCACCAAATCCTCAAACCCCACGAACGAATCTCGAGAAACCACACATCGAACGAAGTGACCAGAGATAGGAAGAAGCCAGATCCATCACGCTTAATACAGCCTACGTGGACAATCACAGACAGCAATATTCCGATTACAGTAGACCCCAACAATATTCCACAGATATACCGTTACCGAGAATAATCGAAGCAGTAACGAGGCAGTACAGCAACACGGACGATAAGTATAGCGGAGGACTGTATAACGACTTCAACACTAAGTTAGTCAAGTTCTACGACGTCTGTGAAAAGATCGGCCTACAGGAGCATCAGTTCCACGTCGCATTCTCCCTTATGCTCAAGGGGAGAGCGGAGAAATTTTACTTCACACGGATCAAAGGAAAGGCAAGAGATTTCCCCACAATGATAGAGATAATAAGGGCGCACTTCGACACAGAAGAAAACCGTCAAAGATATATCACTGAATAGAGAGAGACTACCTTTCCGAGTATTATTGCTCAAAATCCGGAGAAATCGCGCCCGGAGTGCCTCGAGATCCTCTTCGAAACACTCAAGAAGATCCAGCCAGGATTGCCCCCCGAACACCGCTCGGAGACGACCCTACGGGAACAAACCATAAATACCTGTAGAGGTGTTGAGGAATATAAATTCTCCTTATATAGGCCGGCGAGCACTCTCGAGGGAGTACAAGCGGAACTGCGATCAGCAGTTGCTAATACGGCTTTTTCACCACGGTCGGGGCAATTTCAGGCTTATGAGGAGTACGAGATACACGATCAGCATTAGACCGACCGGACATACGGAGGGAGAGGTCGTAGATACAGCCGCAGAGGTTATAGCTAGCGCAGAGGAAGCTATAGACTCAGTAACAACCGTGAACTCACTCCCTTTCGTGGATCAGGACCACGAGGAGGCTACCGTAGAAGTCGACGGGGCAATCAAGGACCCCGCCAGGGGAGATACTATGTCTGTGGAAAGCCAGGATACTAGTCGAAGTATTATACCGGGGAGGAACGAAGACAATCACTCGATAACTTCCGCCAGCAACATTACTTCACCACGGGCTAAGCGGCCACCCCACAGGATTTCCAGATATTCCTCAACGACTTTGAAGGAGAGGAGGAGACAGAAGTGCTAGACAGCAATAATAGGCATAAATCAACCCTGATGCTCGCAGACATAACTATTAAGGATGACGGGCACGAGGGATTCTTAACAGAGCTCGGGGAAGTCGACGGGATTAGAATAATATCCATCCTAAACGACCAGTCAGTATACCATTTCTTCACTAAAGACGACATCTTCCAGCAGCGACAAGCCAACGGACAGGCCATTAAAGTATTCACACTTAACAACCGGTATTCATCTAACACTTTCCAAGGCATCATACCGGATACCGGAGCCTCTAGTGTTTCGTCTGCTAGCAAGCCTCAATTTAGGGCATTGTGCAAGCTCGACCCCAGAGTCAGACTCGATACGTCCCGGGCTAGGGAACATAGAATCAAATTTGGAGTCGGAGATCCAAAAGTCTCCTTAGGGACTACCGATGTTGATACCCCAATTAGATCCATTACGTTTCATATCCTTCCCACGAACACACCGTTTCTCTTCTGCCTCAAGGACATAGATGCTATAAGGGTAGAGCTCAGAAACAAGAAAAACGTACTTAAGCGAGGAAACAAGAGAGTGCCCATCGTTCGTAAGTGGGGACACCCATAGATATTGCTACATAATCTAGAGGAGATAGCAGCATAGAGCCACCTCACTAAGACGGAGCTACAGCAACTCCACCGACGTTTTAGACACCCATCAGTACGAAGATTGACCCGAATCCTTCAGCGTGCCGGGCACGAAATAAATTCGCAGTGCATCGACTACCTCACGAAGTTCTGCCACCATTGCCAGATAAAAGGCAAGTCCCCAGGACAATTCAAATTCACTTTGAAAGATAACTATAAGTTCAACTACTCAGTTATCGTCGATATCCTGTACCTCGAAGGAAAGCCCGTTTTGCAAGTCATCGATACAGCCACGTCATTTAGTGCTGCGAGATTCCTGAGAGATATGTCTGCACGCAATACTTGGGACACACTTCGTGCATACTAGATCGATACCTACCAGGGACCCCCGGACTACGTTGTGCACGATACGGGGAAGAACTTCACATCTACAGAGTTCAAGCAGCTTGCATTATCGATGTCAATCAAAGTTAAGGAGGTCCCTGTAGAAGCTCACAATAGCGTAGGGAAGGTAGAACGATACTATACACTGCTACGCCGTGCCTACGAAATTCTCAGAGATAAGCTTAAGGATGAGAACATTAACAAGGAGATGATCCTGCAAATAGCCGTGAAGGCTGTCAACGACTCAGCCGGACCAGATAGAATTATCCCAACACTGCTTATCTTTGGGGCATACCCGAGAATAACGGAAATAGATCCACCATCACCTTCGGTAGTCAAGAGAGCTAAGGCTATTCGCGCTGCAACCAAAGAGGTCCGTCGCCTACATACGGAACGCCAGGTGAATGACGCTCTCGCCATACGCAACAGCCCTAGTACAATCGCTACATTGAACCTACCATTATAGTCGGATATTCGAGTCTAGCGCGAGAAAGGTGGATGGAAGGGCCCATATAAGCTCTTGGCGGTAGATAGAGAGACTTGTACTATAAATATGCTATATAGACCTACGAAGTTCCGATTAACGGTTGTTAAGCCCTACTATAGAGAAGAGCTCCCAGAGGGAGAGGGAGGTTAACGTTGTGTTAAGGTAGAGGACGACTAAGTGAATGAGATTGTCGACTCAAGACCTATTAACAAGCCCGATAAACCGACGGAAATCCAACGACGAGGTCGAGGACGACCACCAGGATCGAAGAACAAACCGAAACCGCAGACAGTCGTACAGCGGAGTACCCGACGAGGTCCTGCTCATCATCAAGATCTCGAGGATCAATTCATCAACGCTATTTAGGAAGGACAAGACGTTTCAATAGCGCTTATAACAAATAAAGAACAAGCCGATATAGAACTGTCTATCAAGTTAAGAAATAAAGGTGTCATCACAACCCCTGGATTGCCATTCGAACAATCCCGGAACGAGGAGATTAAAGGATTAATAGCCAGAGGCGTATTCGAGTTCGTACAATACGATCCAATCAAGCACGCTAGCATACGCATCTTCAATTCGCGCCTAGTCAACGAGATCAAAGGCAAGGCTACAGGTACGCCCTTCAAGAAGTCACGACTTGTTATCCAGGCATACAATAATAAAGGGAAGGGGATGATTCTCACGCAATCCCCGACTATTCAGCGAGCCAGCCAACGTATTATCATTGCACTCGCCCCGTCACTAAGCGAGAAAGGCATCAGTCTATCGATCCGGGATATAACACAGGCATATATCCAGTCAACGACCTCATTGAACAGACTGATTCTAGCACATCTCCCTAAGGAGACCAAGAGCAAATTCCCGACAGGCACAATTATAGTAGTACAGAAGCCGTTATACAGGATCCCTGAAGCCGGAACCCATTAGTAGGCAACGTACCACAAGCACCACCGGGAAAGGCTCGGGATAGTCACATCTACTTACGACCTATACTTGTTGATCTCAACAGCAAAAGGAGCTTTCGGCGTGGTCGGGATGCAAACCGACGATACTCTGATTTTGGGATCCGACAAGTTCGCCGCGCTTAAAGAAAAGGAATTAGCGGAGGCAAAGTTCAGCGCCAAGCCTAAGGATACACTGTCTCTAGAGTACCCGCTGATATTCAATGGCTGCGTTCTAACACAGAAGGAAGGAGACGCTGCAGTTGAGTTACGCTAGAAGGAGTAGGGCAAGAAACTTAAGCTTATCGACCACAAATTCAAGGACTTTAAACACGCATACATAGAACAACGTGCTCGCGGAGCTTACATTGCAACAATCTGCCAGCCGGAGGCTGCATTCGACCTATCCGTTGCCGCCCAACACTAGGACCCCACGGAAGCCGACGTCAACGCGCTGAACAAACGCATTATATGGCAAATGAAGAACCTAGACAGGGGTATCAAATATGTTGCAATTGACCTATCAACGGCGAAGCTCTTCGTATTCGTCGATGGATCATTCGCGAATAACAAAGATTTTAGCTCCCAGATTAGATATGAGATCATCCTCGCAAACGAGTCCACAAGGAGCGAGGAATTTGAGATCATAGGAAACCTGATCCATTAGAGCTCAACCAAGAGCAAACGAGTTACCAGAAGCGTTTTGGCATCGGAGATCTATGGAATAGTAGGAGGTGTCGATATGGCAATTGCAATTGGCACAACAATCAAGATGATTATAGACCAACTTGGCTTTGGAAAGATTCCTACCATCGTGTGCACGGATTCATACTCCCTCTACGAATACCTCGTCAAACTCGGAACCACCAAGGAGAAGCGTCTGATGATCGATATCATAGCACTTCGCCAGTCATACGAGCGAAGGGAGATAATAGAGATAAGGTGGATCAACGGGAGCGACAACCCAGCGGATGCAATAACCAAGGCAGAACCCAACAAGGCCTTGGAGAAGTTCATCACCATAAACACCTTACGAGTGCGAGTTGAGGGATGGGTAGAGAGAAAATAGAATAGTACAGCGAGGTCTAGGTGTGCAACAAGGCGCAGTCTGATTTTTTTTATTGTCCGCTTTGACCGTTCGTTTTGATCTTTCTTTTAACCCTTTTTCATTCGTTCGTTTTGTTCTTCATTTCCTACTTGAGGACACTGGCCTTTGCACAAGAGAAAAGTTGCCAGTGTCGGGATATATCCTCCCGTCAGAATAAGCAAAGACAGGTTGTACGTAATCGTGCTAAGCAGCGGCTCCCGCCGTCTGAGGTTCAGGGGCATTGGAGATAGAGAACACACATCTATCTACATTTTTGAATCAATTGACTTTTTGCTTTACGGCATAACACTGTCCACTTAACTATGTACACAGTACCTAGCTGGTGATACCAACAATATCGATTTCTTCTGTGGACACACTGATTATTTCTCAGCCCGTACCACGGACAACGGAGGCCGGGGATAGCTGAGGCTTGATTAATAATAAATTAGGCGTAACCAGACAGTAGTCACCTTCAGCTCTAACTAGGATTAATTTCTTTTCATATCTACGTTTCTTCAGGATAATGACCTACAATAACGCCATCTATGAGTGCAATAGCCGGCATAGTCCTCAGGAAGACCAATCGTACATTTACCGGTAGGTGAGTCTAGAACGTATCGTTGGATAGACTAGACAGCGGTGAACTTCCAGAAGTGAAGTATATGAGTTTAAGAGGAGTGGTTGTTTAAGAGTAATAAAGGCCCAAAAGCCCGATGTATCCGCTGACAAAATATGTATCTGACCAGTCTCCCGCATGCGAATACCTACGCACACATCTGCATTACACATCTTGCTATATTCAGACGCCTTTTTCATCATGTTTGTCTTGCGACGGTACTGCTTTTGACGGATTAATTTTCTTTTAGACAGACGATTAGATCGAGCTCTTTTCAAAGCAGCCATTGGAAGTTGATGTCTTGGGCTTTCTTGAATGGAATAGCACTTGTCAGACAGGGGTTCAAGAGTGGTGCTTTTAAGGCTGGTTGAAAGGAGAAGCAGAATGAATACAGGCTCTACAGGAAAATCCGGTTGCGAAAAGTAGGTCTATTTGAACTTTCGATAAGGATAGAAAAAATTGATTACTCTCACAAAAAGAAATTGTGGTCCTGTGTTGTTTTCACGTTATGAAGACAAAAATAGCACGTTAACCGCCCTCGCTAAACTGCGGACACCATATGGGTCTCTGGCTCATTTTCGATAATGGAGTGGGCAATACAATCTTTGTAAACAAATCTGTGACAGGCCAGAATCAATATTCTAAGGGATTTTCATTACTAACCACGGTTAATTGGTGTACAATATAATAGTCAAGCAGGCCACTGATATGTTCAAATCGCTCTCTTTGCGACACAAAATGACTTGCAAGGAAGTACTGTGATCAGTTAATTCTGAGAGACAGTAACCCAAATTTTGACTCCCTCAACTTGAGCTGAGAATAAAGAATTCAAGTGAGGCTGCAGTAGACTGTCGCGCACAAACGGTGAAGGCGACAAATCCCCAAAAGGTGTTGGTTAAAAATGGCCCGGATTGGCTATTTCGGGAAGTGGATTGCCGGTCCCAAATGGTGGAGGCAGCAGGGCACCAAAGAGTATGGCAGAGATAACATCGCGAAAGCGGTCATTTCTTTAGGTAAACAGAGCAGAATGTGGTGCTGATCCCTTTGTACAACTAAGTAGGCAGTGTTGATAACTTCATTTTGTTTTTTATGAGTGTTTACGTTCATCATGATTTCATTTACAGATATGAACCCTTTGAGAAAGAACAAGTTTAAAATTATGAGATGGTGAATGAAGATCTTGAACGTGCCTGGACTCCACACCAGCCTCATGGCCTTTTTGCCATGTGAACAAACGAACATCTTCCCAAGCGAGTAAACATGTCAATAGTAAATGAAAAAGAAGCTAAGTCATTAAACAGGCGTTCAAATTGATGAAACCGGTTTACTGCAGAGTTACGTTCAGTTCACCATCAACACAGAGACAAAAATTAAGGGGCAGGTGGTGGAACTGTGACAAAAGGGAGGTGGTGCAAGAATATCAGGACCTTTGGTTTAGTTTACTGAAGAGGTTCAACAGATTTCGGTCAACATACTATGAGGAAACGGGGAAATTGTCATGGAACTTCAACGCACTTGGCTGTACAAAGATAGAATAGTGTAGCAGTGAAACAATTGGCTACCCAAGAGACCTTCCCCACATCAATTGTAGGTCCGTGCATTTCCTAATACCTGGCCTACCGCCATACCCCTGACAGGAAATTCTTTCACCTTGCTTGAAGACCACTACTAGCTCCGCTCCATCCCGAGTGATCGGACTAGACCGGAGAAATTGAATCTACAATCCTCATGCTTACTCAGGGATGTTCGTACAAGCAGTCTGTAGAGGGTGCACAGTGGTTCGTTGGGTGCGCCCAGCACTTTTTTCTAATCTACAGTCCTTTGCAGAAGACCAGCGTGCAACTACGCGATATTGTTAGAACCATAAGAGACTGCGAGGTCCGTAGAAGCAATTAATCCCTGTGTGCAATCTATTTTTTATTCGCCTCATACCACGAGCCTTTCAGCCAATCCAAAATATGCACCAAGGCAATGTAGAACACATGGCTACTCCAAGGTGGAGAAAGGAGTACGTAGCAGCCAACCAATAACATTTTAGGTCTCTCATTAAGACTATGATTCATTTGTTATTCTTTTATCCCCCTTGGAGCTACTTATGGTTTGTAGTCAAAGAGTGCGAAGACTTGGATGATGCGCTAGACTCTTATCAGCCTGGGCGTTTCGCTGGTAGGTATAACTCAGCTTTGAGGCGAACTGGAAATTGTTTACAGAACCGTGATGTTATGGATAGGCGGTGAATATCGGATCTCACCAAAATTCTGCTGGCAAATCGGTCTCCGCCTTAAAGTGGGAAGTATGACAAATCATCGATCTTGGGCTATGCACCAGGTTGATAGTCCTGCCAGTTTACATAGTCCTGGCTCGCAAGCCTATATCGGCCTATTTACACAGGCCACCAGCCTACGTAGCCCGCCATCCTATATCGGCCAGGCTACATAGTCCTGACTACATGGACCGCTAGCCTATATGGCTGTGTGAAGGGCTGAAGCAAGACTTGATTCAATCTAACTAGGCCAACATGCTGTTTACAAAAAGCTTAGAGAAGAAAGGAATGGAATAAGCGGAACAGCGATAGAAGACGCAGGCAAGAGCGGTGGCAGAACTAACTATGCGAGGAAGGCTATGTGGCAGGGCCACATAGTGAGAAGCGGGTCTAACCCGTGACAGGCTGTGGCTACTTACCCAGCCGCCCAAGAATCCCGGGAGTCGTGTGTTCATGTGGGAGTTCACGCTTGTGGTAGAAATCCCCTGGGGGAATTTGCCCTTGAGCATCAAGTTACCCCAAGGTAAGTTGTACCTGAGAAAGTTCGTTCCTGGGTTTCAACTAGACCACGGAAGGAATCGCGACTCTCCAGGTTCGATTCGACTCGGGACCGCCAAGACTCAGGTTCAGGTTCCAGATTTTTAGAGTCGCGATCCGACTCCAACTTTTTTAGAGTCGAACCTCCAGGTTCGATTCGGAACCTCAGGTTCCTCAAACAGAGCAAACATGATTTATGAAAAATACCACGTGTTCTAGATACGTTTCGGATAGTATTATTTAGTCTATGTCAGGTATATATTGGTATATGATAAACCTATATAAAGATGTAGTGAATATATAATATGTCCGTTTCGTCCGGATAAATTGTTTCTAGGTTTGTAGCGTAATTAATTATCGGTGTTTATAGTGGAAAAATCGCGGTGAAGCTTGCAGGGCCGAAGATATATATTCATAGCGACTACTACTACTACGACTTTACCACGACTAAGATAAATGATTTACGGTCGGATCCTTTTCAAATATTAATATCTACCGTAGATCTATTAATACTTCACGTAGAAAACTAATATTTCTTAACATATAGTGATATCTAGTAGTGTATACTAACCTATAACGTATAACGGGGGAATATTACGCATAATTACTAAGAGAATTATCCATCTAAAATAGGAAATTCCTTGGCAAAATTATGCAAATCAGGTTCCTGCAGGTGCGAATCGAATCGAACCTGAGGTTCCCAGGTTCGACTCCAGGTTCCAATAGTTAGAACCTGGGAACCTCCAGGTTCGACTCCAGGTACGGATTATTGGAACCTGAGTCGGACCACGCCGAGGTCTAGTTTCAACGTCCTCGAGGGTATTCACCCCTCAGGATCCTTGACCCTGAGAAATTGTTGCCCTACGGTCATATACTCGGGGCGAGAGTTTATTCCTGCGTTCTAGAGACCTGGTAGCGAGATGCTCTCAATGGTTTTGTTTGCATGCACGAAGCGAAAAACAGATTTGTCGATGTTCTAGGCTTCTAGCACCCAAAGCGAGAATCAATGTGATAATAAATAACCAATCATATCGCAAGCCGGATAGATACAAATCCGAATAGACAATGTGATTTCAAACCCATAGATTCTATCACTCTATCCTTTCTCCATACGGAGGTCCTTTTCACTTCTTTCAACTGGTGCGTGTGTCCATGGGGGAATCTGTTTTCGAAGTCGACTGTTACACCGTATAGGAGTTCCGTGTGACATACAGACTTATATGTAATGATGTCGTTCTCAAAGTAAGAAAGGATCTATTCTTAGAAAGACGTAATTTATAGCCTATCCTAATATGGCTTAGCTTAGTTTCGGGCACGGGCCGAGAAACAAAGTGTGGGTGTTCGCGGGATAATCTTTTTTCGAAATTTCTGTAGGCTGCAAAGTGAAGCCCGAAATTGTTTTGCTTCGATCAGACATCATCCCCCAACTTTGCCTCGTTAGCCGGAATTCATCCTTCGCTACTGTCCTCGGGTGCTTCCCACTACCACTGGGCGCTGTGCGAGAATCTGACGAAGGACAGGGTCGGCTTTGCATTTATCGACATAGTGGACGCGAACTTGTCTGCAAACACAAAATAGGTTGATCGTCCATCGCTAGTCATTCGAGGCCCATGGTGAATGAATAAAAGAAATGTGGCTGATGAGTGGCTGGTTTAAAGCTTCTAGTTTTGACAAGAAAATTAGCAAAGCACTTCCACATGTCTAACGTCCTATAATCGCCTTCCCTGATTCAAGAATTTTACTATGCTCCAATCTAATATACGCGTTGATTAATTTTTTTTGCGGCTAGATAGTTATACGTAAACGGTTTCCGACTTCCTGTTAACGGAGCTTGGAGTTCGTCCAGCCGATACCACAGCGGATACAGGCATCGGAATTACACATATTCCGGGGTTGGAGTTTCTCATAACACACCTAAACACTAAGTATGTCACGTGCAGGTCCAGATGTTCTAAAGCAAGTCTTTAGGCCCTATTAACGCTCTGTTTATCTTACCATCGCGAGGATCCGTAAGAGGAAAGCTCCTTAGTTCCCCTCGATTCCATAATAAATTAGAGACTATTAGATATTTTTGGATGGGATGCCAGCGAATCTGTCGAGCGTTCTCGGGCAAGTTGGCCAATCTGACCGTAGGATGGAGCAACAGTAGGTCTCTATGGTTAGTTCTTTGTTTGCTACGTAGGGTGCGGTACTTTATCGAGCAAGCAAGGAAAGCCTCGAGCATAAGTAGGAAGCTGAAAAATCCCGGCTTGCTGTTACTCCCGATTTCTTAGGACACCCCACTGATCTCCACAACAATTTCTTAGACCTAGCCAGTCGCATCCGTCACTTAGTGTTCATTTCAGACACAGTGCTCGATCCACAACGGGGAAGATCAAGACCTTGCGTACGCTCCTTTCGGCAGAATATAAGCACACAATGCAGTGCTTAGAAGCAGGCTCGGGTAAAGAGATACGACACAATATTTTGCTTACTTACACAGAGTGTCAGAGAAAGTAGTCTAAGGTCTAACCCCCGAAAAACAACTGCTGAGTTTGACGGGAGGGCTAACATCACATCCTAGAGGTAGTGCTCTAAAACGACGCCGTGCACAAGATGTGCAACTAGTGCACAACAGTGTCTATATAATCAAAAAAGTGATCGTAGACGTAAGGAGTATACAGCCGGGCTGTTGAAATTTCATACTATTCTTTGTCGACTGGCTGCTACCCTGCGCTCCGCCGCTCCCGAAGAGCTATCATAGTTAGTCTCCACTTTATAGGTTATATGCCTCGGTGCTCTGGCGAACGGTGGTTGGGTAGGTCTCAATAATCTAGCAAATAACCACGCCCCTCTGTAGCGGTTACTTCCGTGTCTCATTAACAATCTAGGGGCTAAATAGGCTACGGGCACCAGACAGCACGAGCTGTAAACTAGTATACCTTGCTTTCGTGTAGAATTGTAATTGTACCCAAGACCCCGCTCGTCATCTCAAACTATAAGCCTCAGCCTTGTCTTAACGCTTTTTAACAACCTTAAGCTCTGCTTGACGTGCAATAATGTGGCAGGCTCCTTGAGATCTTCTGCCTAGAAGAAATGCACCAAATTGCTTTTGATAATAATACCCACCGGCCAGATATATTAGTGGGGGAATATACAAGTGGCCAATAGTGCATGATACAAGATAAAGAAATCTCACCAATTACCTACCTTACGCGAGACCCGAGAGTTAGGGTCGCTTTTCTCGGACGAGATAGATCTAACTGTGGGGCGCAGGTAGTGATCTAGACATTTTATGTTAATCTACATCTTCTTATGTTAACCCACTTTGAAGCACTTAAAGGGTTCTTTGCGTCTATCCCGCAGATACAAATACCTAATCTTCAAAGACTAAGGAGCTCGAGAGATAAAACTATACTGAGTATATTCATAGACTGGCTGCTATTAAACTGCACTTCGCCAGAAGTACCCTAGATATTTAACAAATACTAAATTAGAGTTCACATCCAACTAAGAACAAGAGAGCGAGGGACGGGTCGGCACAGGGCGTCCCGCCCACGGCTCCAAGGCTCTTCAGCGGTAGATCGGGCGTGTTTTACCGGTCGGCTGCTTAGAGGTACACCCCTACGAACACTTGAGAAGTGGCCCCACTTTCTGCTCGCCCCTTACCGAGCTTATGTACAGTGGCATCATAAATAAACCCCTTTAAGTACCACAATCAGTGTTCTGTGTTATAGTACTCTCCTATAGCTAGCTAAATGATCGCTATATTTATACGTAGGTATACAGAAGTTAATGCTTAGGTGCGATAATATAGCTCGAAAGTCAGTTCAGCAAGACCATAGATTGATCAATTCATCTAAGAGACATCTGTAATACCAAAGCTAATGATAACGTACAGTATTTGCATCTATTGCAGTATCCTCGAAAGGTCGGAATTTGGAAATATATGCGTTCTCATAATACATATTAGGTAGGTGTAAGTAGGAATTTCCGGGCTTATCCCCACACTTCCCTCTCAGCTAGTCTTTTCCCTTCAACAACCAACTTCATCTTCCGCCCTAGGTTCCTCCTTCCTCTATACTTGTTTCCTTGTATAGTATATAGGTAGGTAGATTATCTAGGTTCGCACTATTGCTAACTAGAACCACTGCCAGCAGTATTAATGATATATCATTAGTATGCACGGCTTTAATGAAATTCAGGGATTGTCAAGTCTAATCTGTCGAACCTCACGCCTTAGACATTAAGGTAGAGCAGTGGAAACCTTAGAACCCCCGGAGAACTCATCTGTCTCTTCTTGTGTAAGAACGATTAGCTACATATATATTAGAACCACCGGGAACGCAACGACAATCATTGCTTTCTGGTAACTCGCTATCAAAGAAAAGCTTGTTATCTGCATGATTTTCCACGGTGTAATTTAACCTACGATAGAATTGAAATATTTTATCGTGAGTTGAACTATTAGAGCACTTAAGGGAGAGGGATATAGATAATTCCTGTAAATTGCTCTCTTTTAAATAGTGAAGAGAGAATAAGACAGCCCGTATTCTAATCGCTAGCGCTCACTAGATAGAGATATAGACCTATACTACGCATCGTAAAAAGCAAACATTCTTAACGTAAACCATAGTAGCAGAATCATGGCCTACCACGTACGAACCCAATACCCCTTGCACCCACTTGCCTTACATATAGGAATAAGGTTATGCTAAGGATAGATTAGTCAATTTATTTAGCGATCTTAATTCATACGTTGGGACATAGGGTAGGCTAGAAATCACTGCTGAAGTCATTAGGGTAGTAAGTCCACGAAGCTATAAAGAGGCCTAATAATCCCAATTGTTCTAGAGTATCCAACCACCTCTTCATTTTCTTATCCTACTTTAAGATTCCAATCCTCATTCCTAAGAACCATTCCAACTTCCTCCCACGATAAAGCTTCAAAGCGTCCTTTACTACTGCTCCTTCCTCGCTGTGGTTAAGGCCCAGTATAGCAGCATTTGTCCCGACAGAGACAGGGAGACAGAGGAAATCAACCCCGGACACTTCGTGAAGTACAAGTGTAGGTGGCTCGGACCGTATAGCGGGGCGACACACCAAAACATCAACACCGCCCAAGCCTATGCTCAACTCTACCAGGACAAGCCAGGTTACACTAGAAGCTCCTAGCAGTCTGTACAGAGCAGATGTGTGTTGAGTGGCGACCGAACCAACGAGGCTCGTTCCAACGTCCTTTAGATAGAGGTGGTTCAGCCAGAGGAGGATCCCTTCCCGGAAGACCCAGAAGAAGAAGTCGTCGACCCTTTCCCTAAAAATCCCGAAGAGGATTGTAACACCCAGTTAGGAACCTGCCAGACGCAGAACACAGATTACCTAACGGAGAAGGCAGCCCTTCAACACGAGAAAGCTGCGTAGATCAAGAAGCAGAACGCGCTAAGCAAATGCCCCTCCTAGCACAAGAAAGTCATTGTCCGTGGTAGTATTAGATATAAGGTCCACTGTTTCATGCGCAGCAAAGGTTTCACTGGTTACAAGTCGACCGACCACGCATTCACTCAATGTATAGACGCATACTCCGCTGATTCCCGATGTAAAGCTATTCACTATCTCATCGACAGTACCTAACCCTACAAGATGCTTAGTTCAGTCGATAACAACAAACAGCCTGATCACAGCTCTAGCCCACAGATTTCCCTTATCCCTGTCACGCCGAAATAAGTTGACAATATAGATAGAAATTTTGGTATTGGTATACTGAAAATCGACGTCACTGCCTCGGGCTCCACACAGGCTTTATTTAACCTTGCACAAGATTAGAAGAGGATATAGACCTCTAGGGGCATCTAAGTATTATTGAATTTCCGGGTTTTTTTTGAAATTTTGATTTACTCTTTTAGTTATTACAGAAACAAGAACACAAATTATATCTAAGCTTCCGCACAAAACCGGATTAGAGTCGACTTTTTCTGTATGTTTCCTTATATAGAGCTTAACTATAGTAGGCACTTATGCCATCTTACCGCTATACCTACATATCGGAGCGCTCTCCTTTTTTGCACTAACATTATAAACGCACCGCCGGAGGAAGTTATAAAACCCTTAGTCTAGATTCTCTTCGTATACTGACCAAGTTTGCTTAATATAAGCTTTTAGATCGGCAAAGAACTCTTCGATAGGGTTGAAATTCGGAGAGTAAGGGAGTAGGTGCAGTAGTTTGACTCCAGCGTCAGCACATAACCGCGTGACTCGGTCCGAATGGTGGAAAGATAATAAGCACGGATTTTAGCTCCGGCTACCTTCTACAGTGCTGGAGAAGCTGCTCAATAAATAATTCGAAGAACGTATCATTAGTTGAACCATTGAAAATACGAGACAAAATGATACTATCTTGAGCATCCGCCGGCAGTGTCTAGTAGCGTTTGGCCCGATGAAATTTCGACACCTCGACTAGTGTCACGCCGAGTAGTGACTAGCCAGTCCGCTTATCATCCACCCTTTTATAGTATCCAGATTTATCGAAAAATACCAGATGATACGACCGAAACTTAGATAGTTTATGCTAGTAGAAATCTCGCAGTTAAGGGTTGTGTTCTTTTGCTTTCTGTTGGTTTTTTTTTGTCTAGTCAGATTGGGAAAATGCAGGTTTAATGCTAGGTAATGATAGTAACATATTAAACTCAACGCATAAGAAGATAGCCATCTCCTCAATGTATAGGCCGGGCTTTTCGACGAGGTAGTCATAGAGGGCATCCAGCATAACAGGGGCGATGCTTGGTTGTCGCCCGACCGGGACTAGGGGAGACCAGGCATCACCGAACAGCCGCATATTCTTACGTATATTATTGACAGAACGCTCACTACGCTTCGCGACCTTGCCCATTTGTGACATAGTAAATCTGTTCTTGCTGAGTATAACATGGACAATCATCTTACACTGCCACGGACCGTATACGTAGCTATCAGAATATATCCATTGTCGCCAGATGATTCTTCTAGCTTTCCTAGAAAAATATACCTACGTCCCGATACTACTGCTCCTGATTTAGATATAGTACTAGCCGTGCTGCTAGTTATACGGCGCCTCGCCGTTTGGTGGTTGTCATTATAGGGCCACCCAAGAATCATTCGCAAGGCCACGGGCCGTAACGGGAGGGCTTTTTGCCCCTCATCAACTAAGGAGGAAACGCTCGCTTACGATTGGTAGGTGTCAAGCATAGTAGGATCCAATAGTGTATGGTTGGGAGCCATTTCTCGGAAAAATACATCTTCCAGAAGCCCTGATCAGCTGACTTCAACCCTGCTGTCATCCCAGGACGTCGATGGCCGACGTTATGGATACAGCATCACCATTGTCGACTACCTTGCAAGAATCAACTATGATTGTTGAACGTGATGGCGAATGTTTAAAAATCTAGCAAATACATTAACAATCATTAAGAAACCATAAGCAAAAATATATCCAGCATTCTTAGAAATTGTTACTCATAGTGTGGTGAAACTTCGTGTAGAGTCGGTAGGCTCTGGCCTTTCTAAGACTCTGAATTCGCCGAGTCTAACTAGTGAAAGTTGTTTTCAACACTACCTCACTTAAATTACAAGTTGAGAATAAATTTAGGAACAATATAAGATATTGTAACATATACCGGAATCCACCTCCCCCCTTACTGTTATCCGTATGATTCGCAGTGTTTACTCCTATGCCCTCTCAGAATCTGAATGGTTCCATTTTAACCAGCAGATTTCTTAGAGCAGGTTATACTTAAAATTACCCTCGATGTCTCCCTCTTATTAACGTCAAAAGCGGATATCGTACGCAAATAGGTCGAGATTAACCGGGATCCCTGTATCTACCTTATAGCGTCGGGCCAATAACAAGCCTTCTATTGCTGATAAAGCTACTAAGTAGTAGTACCTTACCCCGCAAGAGGAGCAGGCACTAGTAGAATATATACTACGGTTAGCGGACAATAGTTATCCGCTTCTAGTTAGGTTTCTGCGATCGCTCGCTCTGGTTATCGCGCACCAGCGATCCTCGACTTTCCAGATCACAGATCCCCGCCTTAAGATCCAACCTCCGGGAAAGAATTGGCCGTAGAACTTTTACTTACGCCACCCGTAGTTGAAAGCGCGACGGTTATGAGCGATCGATTGGAAACGAGATAACCGGCAGATCGAAGACAAAGTCCGACATTGGTTTGCTATCATTAGCCGAGAGCTAGCCGATCCCGCTATTCTCCCGGAAAATGTTTATAATATAGACGAGACAGGAGTTCTTCTCAGTGTTCTTAAATCCCTCAAAGTCCTTATCCACAGAGAAGATTTGAGAAAGCATCGGGGGACCACGGTAAAGCGGACGCTAGGTACAGCAATCGAATGCATTTCCGCCGATAGCCGGTGCCTCTATCCTCTCATTATCTGGCCGGCCGCTACCTATCGCAGCTCGTGGACTACTTACGCCACCTCCGGATGGCATTTTGCCTGCTCCAAAACAGGATATACGAACAAATACATTAGTCTGTACTAGGTGGAAAATGTGTTCGATCCGCAAACTCGAGACCGAGCAGGCGATCGGCCACGACTCTTAATCTGCGATAGTTTTGGCACTTATGAGTCTGTGGAGGTCATGAAATTTTGCTTTGCTAACTGTATAATCCTGTGTCGTCTCCCGTCTTATACGTCTCACAAAACTGCAGCTATACGATGTGGGCGTCTTCGGTCCTCTGAAAACGGTATATCAGGCACGGGTTGAGCAGGTATGCCGAGCTGGTGTGGGTGCCATCAGTAAGCCACACTTCACCTATCTTTATGATCGCGCCCGAAATAAAGCATTTACATCCCGGAATATACGATCCGCCTAGTCGAAAAGCGGCCTCTTTCTATTCGATCTATCTCGCGTCCTCCGAGAGTTTCCAGCGCTACGAACCGAGATACAAACCACGATCCCTGTGGACTAGAGGAGTTAGGACTCTTGAAGCCACGGAGAGTTTTAAGAGGGTATACTATTTGAGAGCTAAGGAATAACCAAAACCCCGATGAGTCTGGGGAGAAATAAAATATTCGTCCTAACTCTCGAATCCGTATACCTAGGCAAACATCCGCCCCGCACATTTCGCTACGCTCTTGCAACGCTAGCACCCTTAGGGTTAGCCCCTTCTGGATAGAAATCTACTAATCTAATTTATCAGAAATATAGTTTAGGCTATGTTATTTAAAAGATATCTTTTACCCGACCGGGAAATACTAAAGTTTAAATTACTTAGGGGGGGGGGGGGGTTCCGCTTAAAAAAGTCTTAGCCAGGGCCTAGGGGTTTGAGTTTGGCTTGGGGGGTTTGGCTTTAAAGGTTTGAACCAAACAAATCCCCCCCTTTCCCATCCCCCACTAAGTACTCCTGTTTGGCCGACTATATTTAGGATCTTCAGTCTTCATATAGATAAGATTTAATAACGCTCGTTCTAACGCCTTACTTTAAACCTATTAGTTCGGCCGAGTTAGTTCATTAACTTAGATAATTAGTCTTTGCTATCCTTAAGGCATCCAAGTGTGAATAACCTTATGTCAGGCATATTATCACAAGTAGTCCTATCCATTGGAAGTGTTCAGGATAGGTAATAAATCTAACTAGATTGAAATAAGTGCTTTTATCGTTGACTCGGACATAGACTTTTAGTATTTGAAATTTTCAATTTATAACCAATCTGAATTGATAATATCTCATCGCGTATCTCCCTCAAAGTAAGGATCATAATAAAAGCAAATTTTGAATCTGCAACAAGACGAGGCCGTTGATTGATAGCAGCTCTCGGACTACATATAGATATCCCTACGATACTTAAAGATAGTATGTCTCAAATAGTGGCCGTGTATTTTGCCCTTTCTATATTCTTGTGATAGGCGCTAATTTTGGCGTCAAATTCCCTTGAGGAAGACTTTAGCCAATCGATATACATCGGACACCTGTAAATCTCGTAATCGGTATTCCTTCGACAAAACCTGCAAAATTTCCGTGCGCAGGTTTTGCATCGAACAATTTGAATCCAGCAAGCGCTCCAAGCAGCAGATAATCATAGACTGCATCACTGTGATGAACGCCGCGGGCATCGCGTCTGTATCGTACTCATAGCGAATATTCAAGGCATCATTTTCAGCTTGCCATTCAAAGAGACAAGAAAACTTAGCACCTTTCGCCGAAATAGGAGTCGGTGTCACACCATCGATAGGAAAGTCGCGACTGTGTTTTTCTCGGACACAATAGTCATGGAATGTGACCACGCAATCGAAGAGTGGTTGCTGCTGCCTTTGTTTAGCAAGTGATAGGGGTAAAAATGGCAGACCTAACAGGTTCAATAGCTGGTGCTAGGGAATTGCGTGCGCTAGTGCGGACTGAGATAATGCGCGAACTTGAAAGAGAGCTTCC